CCGTCCGGGGACGCGGAGTCTCGAGGGGACGCGGCGGTTTATTGCTACCAGGCGGAGGCCGGGGAGTGGCGCGAGCTGACGCGGCTGCCCGAGGGCGCGCCGGCGCGCGGCTGCGGTCTCTGCGTGCTCTTCAACTACCTCTTCGTGGCGGGCGGTGTGGCTCCCGCGGGTCCCGACGGCCGCGCGCGCCCCTCGGACCAGGTGTTTTGCTACAACCCGGCCACCGACAGCTGGAGTACCGTGCGACCGCTGCGCCAGGCGCGCTCGCAGGTGCAGCTGCTGGCCCTGGACGGACACCTGTACGCAGTGGGCGGCGAGTGCCTGCTCAGCGTGGAGCGCTATGACCCGCGAGCAGACCGCTGGACCGCGGTGGCCCCGCTGCCCCGGGGCGCCTTCGCAGTGGCCCACGAGGCTGCCACTTGTAATGGCGAGATCTACGTGTCCGGGGGCTCGCTCTTCTACCGCCTGCTCAAGTACGACCCCCGACGTGATGAGTGGCAGGAGTGTCCCTGCAGCAGCAGTCGAGAGCGCTCTGCTGACATGGTGGCCCTGGACGGCTTCCTCTATCGCTTTGACCTGTGCGGGAGCCGCGGTGACGCTCAGGCTGCAGTGGGTTCAGGTGGCGGGGTCAGCGTCTTCCGCTACCATTGCCTGGCCAAGCAATGGAGCCAGTGTGCCGTGCACCTGCGGCCCCCGGGCGCGCCATCAGGCCTGCAGCCCTTCCGCTGCGCCGCCCTGGACGGTACCATCTACTGTGTCAGCCGCGCGGGGACCTGGCGCTACGTGCCTTCTCAGGACACTGAGCCTGGCAGCGAAACGGGACCTGGTGGCAGCTTTGAGCCCGAACCCCTGGGATCCCCTCTGGATGTACGGGGCGTACTGTTTCCATTTGTACTCAACCTGCCTGAGAAACCGGACCGCGGGGAGCAGGGATCAGCAGCCTAGGGCAGGATCAGCTGTACAATTCCACTGTCCAGCAGCTGGGGCGGGGGCGCAAGAGAGTGGGCTGGGGAACCCCCCAGTGGGGAGGGAGGGCAAAGAGGGTGCAGGAAAGGAGGGAGCTATAGATAGGGCAGGCTGCTGGCCACAGCGCATCATGCAAATGCTTTTGAGAGTAGAAGCTTCGCTGGTTCCGAAGACATTCTTGCAATGCTGTTTTAAGACCTGCTTTGCAGTGCTGGATTCTCCCGTTGCTTCACTTGCTTAGTGGGGTCCATGGCATAAAGTTTGGGATGAATCAGATAATCCGATGCCTAAGGGAAGAGGTAGAGGCCACCGATGAAATCAGGGGTGGGCATGAGGTGTAATGAGGAGCCTGCCCAGTCCCTGCTGCAAGGCTCTCAAGCCTGAATGGGATCCTAAAGTAGACCAGACGTCAACGCAAACTGCCGAGGGAAGATCACATTCCGCACTGAGGTTTAAAACCGTAACTTATAAGATCTACATGACCTGAAAAGTTCTCTGTGTGAGACATAACTTCAAGAGTAGTGTACTAAGTACTGAAGGTGAAACTTTGTTGACCAGCATGGTTTCTAGTCCCAAGCGTACTGTGTCAAACCACAGACACACAATCAGGCCTGTGTCTCAGAGCCGAGGCATCCTTCGAGGCAACTGTGGAGAGGATGTTATTAGTGAGAGTGATCATCCGTCCTTGCTTAGATTTGAAGCCTTTGGTGATGAAATGTTGTCAGGAAGCATGCTGAGCAGGAAAGCATGACCAGCAAGGGAGTCTTCCTATTAAAAAGAACCTAGGATCCAGGCTCTGCGCATGTTCACCCACTTCCCCGGTTTAGACTAAGCAAGGGCAAGCTTCCCCACTCTAAGACAAGTTAAAATCACATGTTGACAGTTGCACGCTTTGGGCTCTCTACTTGGTTATGTTTTGAATGTGTCTTCTGTGATTCTGATGAGGGAGATGAACCATCTCCCTGGAAGGTGTGGAGGAGTGGTACCCTAAGGTGTAGGGCAAGGAGAAGCACATGTGCTTTGAATGTAGTTTAGCAAGTGTCGTTTACCTAACTTCTAAAATACCCTAATAGAAGTGAAAGGAAACTCATACGTAGATAAGGTTGCAAGGACCCAAACCAAATCAGTTCATGTTCCTCTCATGTGTTAGGATGCTGTACATTTTGAGCGTATACAGACAAGGCTTCCTATTTATTAAGACGTTAAGGACCAAATGCATGTTCCCAAATAACTGGTTGAGATTCCACATCTGGCCCGTTGTTTTATTGCAAGAGGGTCCCTACACATTGAGAGTTTCTGGAGCGTAATTAGAGGAAGCTCTGCATGTACCATGTCATCCCCGTAGAAGTCGGTGCTTAGCTGGGGATTGGTTAGGCTTTAGAGCTCTGAAAGGTCATAGTGAGGAGTGTTTAGAAACAACCAGTTTGGTTATTCTGCATGACCCAGAGGAATGGAGTTTACGGTTTCTGTTTAGATGTTCCAGCGCTTTGTGCTTGCTCGTGATTACTCATAAACCAAGAGGATGTCTTGGCAACTTGGTTAATCATCTTAGGAAAGAAAAACAGACTTCTTATGCCTGGTTTTATTGGTCTTTCTTAGGAGTGTCCTGGAGGAAGGGGAGCAAAGTGAAACAATGTTACTCTTTAAACAATGTTTAGAGAGATGTACCTTTTATGTTGTAGCTCTTTTTTTTTTTTAAATGAAATTGGTCTCTATTTTCTTTCCTTCAGTACCAAACTTATACAATGCCATTATGTGGTTTTTGCCTGAGAAGTCATTCCTCTGACGTTCCCTTTTGAAATTTGGCCCCTTGAGTAGCATGTCCCTGGAGAGGACAGATGCACATCAGAGGAGTCTTCCTGTGGGGACTAGCATGCTGTTGTGCCCACGGAACACAAACAAAACCCAAGGAAGTCAAAAGAGTAAATGTATTAATCTGTGAACCGTGAAAGAAAAATTAGTTCATTAATCATGAATAGATGTGTGGCCAAGCTGTTTTTGAGAGCATATAAAATATTTTATATCCTGTTTCTAAATAGTGCCCCTTATGAAACAAATACTGCAGGCCCTGGCATGTCTTAGCAACCATGGGTTTTGTTCTTGGGCTCTGGGAGATTTACTACCTATCTGTCTTAGATTCATTTCATGTTGACATAAGCAACTTACGGGAGAGAGGGTTTATTGTAGCTCAAAGTTCAGGTTACAGTCCCTCAAGCTGTGGCAGTCACAGGCCACGACCTTGAGGGAACAGGTGATATTGATCTGCAGTCAAGAGACAGCCTTGAATGCGCGTTACCAGCCAACTCCTTTTTCTACATTGTGTACATTCCCAGGACCCAGGCAGGAAATGGTGTGGCCCACAGTGGACAGCTCTTTCCATTTCAATGAATGCAATCAAGGTTAACTCCTGACAGGCGTGCTTAGAGGCCCACCTTCTGGGTGATTCTAGGTCCTATCAGTTAGCATTAACCTTAATGCCTCCCACCCCCAACAAACAGATGTGAACTCTGAAAGGTATTGGTTTGGTAGTGAGGGGAGCAGGCATCGCTGAGATGTGCCTCCAGGGTGTGAACCAGGGTAAGTCCTTTCATGTTCTACATGCTGGTCACATTCTGTCCCAAAGTCCACCTAGGAGGGTGGTTGGTGTGAGCACAGATCTGACTATCAGTTACAAGAATATGTTTGTGACACCCATTTATAATCTCAGGACAGTAACCCTTGCACACTGACGCCCTGGGCGTTTGAAAGAACAGTGCTGCTTTAAGGGGAAAATGATCGACACACAAAAGATTGACCTTTTGTTTGGCTGATGGGTAATTACATTTGTGTTGCCAGGGTTCATTTGGGATCCTAGGCAACGAACTAATGTTTCTCGGTTTTCTTTCTGTTTTGTACTTTGGCATGGGACAAGCCCCACCTCTACTGCAGACTCTTGGCAGCTCTGCGGACTTGGAGTGCAGTGCTTTGGCTTCTAGAGAAAGGATGGCAGGAGTTTCTGTAATTCTAAGAAAAACGAACATTGTGGAAATTTGGTTGGCTGCTTAGTTTAATTTCTTACCTGTGCTGGCTTTGCTATTTCGACAAAACGCAATGACCAGTGATCTCTAGTAATCCTGGTGATGACTGTGCGAACCCTCAGCAAACTGTCCAATGTTGAAATCGAATGCCTTTGAGGTGGTCTGCAGAAGTCAAGGTGAGGCGGGATGTGAGCATCTGGGATGTCTTCGTGGGTGATGGGAGCCCAAGCGTGCTTTAGCTTTGTGCCTCGGTTTAGTGCCTTCCCCAGGTTACAGTTTTCATCTTGACTCTCAAACAATACCACTGTCCCCTTTTATTTTATTTTATTTTATTTTTTGATATCGTTCACAAGGACGTAATGACCCCAGCTAAAGGTGGAACCGTGCCAACACTTCAGCTGCATCTGCACTTATCCAAGCGACTTTGTCATCCATGTTCTGTCCACACCCGTGAAGAGGAGACTGTCCTGGCAGCAGCTTCACGTGGCTCTGTGGACAGGTTTGGGTTGAAGTAAAAGTCTAGGTGTATTCTGATGTGAGACTGCAGTGCACCCCCGCCCTCGTGCTCGGTAAATCGCCCAACAGTACCTACTAACTAGCACGCACATGCTGCCATTTGGTAAAGAGCTGCCCCTGTTTAAGGGGAGGTCAGGCCAGCCGTTACTGGTTGTGTAGTTACTGTGCTAACGCTTGAGTTTTCTCCTAGGCATAAATGATGTCAAACCCCTTTATGTCTGTCACCTGCGCCAAGATGAAATAAACCATGTGCCAGTGCTTCTGAAATTCTGCTGTGCTTGCCTCTCTCCCTCGGATCCCCAGGATGGCAGGCGTGGTGTGGCCCCACAGTGACTGGACTCTAATGAGTCTTGGGAGATCTAGGGTATCACTGCAGCCAGCTTCCGTGGATGCTGAGGTTTCCCCCGCCTCTCCATCAGCCTCACCTCCATCTTCATACTTGTCTTCATAGTTAGCCCCGTCACAGCCAGGTCTTGCCCCGCAGACTGGGGTGATGGAGCCATGAGGGCTGTGTGTGGGCTCATGAGGTCCATACAGCCGCCAGAACAGAGGAGTGGTCACTGCGTGCCATGGATGGGTAGCCGGGCTGGAAATTCAGGAGTAGGTGAGAGTGGTCAAGCCAGGCCTGTGCTGTGGCTCCCTGTAGGCAGAGCAAGCAGACTGGTCACTGTTGGCCAGTGTGACTGATTCTGGGTTCTGGACTTTGATGGGGATAGGGAAGTAGGGGGAGCAGTCCTCTCTACCTCCCTGACTCTGTCTGGCCTTTGGGGTCCTCTTTGATTCTCTGACTCGGGGCAGTTCAGAGAGCATAGTTTTGCATCTGAAAGTCAGAGAAGGGTGTGGGTGTTGGTCTGTCTGAGGGACATGCGAGCCAAACCCTGTGTTGTTTTTCCTAGGAACCGACTATTTCAGGGGGGAGGGGGTGTCTCTCTCCAGCATCAAGTTCTAGCGTGTCCAAACATCTTAAAACAGAAAGTACAAGATAGAGTCACATCGGCCAGCCACACCTCTTGGAGAGGGTTCATGGGGAACTGGAAATGAGCACTGGTTTGACTGGGATTCCCTGGTGTATGGGACTGGGGGCCTCCTACATCACGTGGCCTCCTGACACCCCCAGGAGATTCAAACTAGAACTGGCCTAGCAGCTGAGAAGAGGGAACCCCACTGAACAGAGTGACCTATGTCAGCTGAGGAGAACCAGATGTGCAGAGTGGACCCAGCTGAACATAGGACCTGGGGAGCATGGGTGACTTGTATGAGCTTGGGATACCCGGATGCATGGATATTGCCTACATGATCTGGGTAGGAAGAAGTTTGGGGTTGGCTCTGGAACAAAAGCCCCTGAAGAGACTCTAGCCAGCCTGAGTATGGCAAACATGGCTCTGGCAGGCCTTGCCCTTCTCTCCCATTCCCTTTCCTGGCTGAAAACCATTAGATTCCATTCCTAAAGCTAGCCCCCACAATCGATTCCCTTATTGGCCCTTCCTCCTCCTGAGGCTGATTAACAAGGTCCAGCTATCAAAGTATTGACGTCCAAAAATCAAAAACCCCCTTGTGGCTGCCCCGATTTAAACAAATCAATCCAACCAAAATTAGACACCATTCTAACAGGGTTTCCCCTTTTACCTTATAAACTGCTGTTTGCCTATGGGTCACACCTGTCTCCTCTCTATCCAGAGGCAGTCCCTTGTCCCTCCCAGGACAAATGCCCCTTCTCTTCTCCCTCATCCTCTGTCTCCTGTCTTGTCTCTTATTCCCTGCCCTTTGTCCCTATAGGGCAAGCAAATCTCCTTTGTGCTGAGAACTTCGTCTTGGGGTGTCCTGGGCTGATACTGGTCTCTACAGCCACTGGGAAGGGAAGCCCAGATCCTCAGAGGACCGCAAAGCATGCTCTTTGATGGGGCAGACCCCAAGGTAGTCTAGCATGGCGGGAGGGCCTCCTTCTTCCCTCCTATGCATGGTGAAAGGCTGGAGTACAACTGATGCTCTCTTGCTGGAGAGAGGTGCAGGCCTTGGACCCTAGGAGAACACTCTTGCTCTTAGGGACAGCCAGATTTCCAGTGTGTATGTATGTGATGGGAGGGGCTGTACAGATTCTGCTGGAACCCTGAAGACACCCATACACTGTGCGTTTGCCTTGGAGTCTGGAGTATCAGAGTGTTAAAACACAGAGCTCTGAAAATGAGGTCCCAGGGTTGTGAGGCCCGTGAGCCTTGACTCTAATATATCGTCCAGGTTCCAGTGTTACCACTTCTATCAGGTGTGGCTGAAAAACAACCAATCACGCTTACCTTTCCTTTCCTGCTCCTTCTGTTCAGGATGGCGTTTGGGTACACAGGCAATGGTCCCGAGTCTGTCTTGCAAACACGAGATCTGGTTCTATGATCAGATTGCACCCAAAAAAGTCACATGCGATAATACGTGCCTGTAATCCAAGAAATGGAGCAAGGTGGATCTCTGGGGCTTGTAGCTAGCTAGCCTAGGTTACCTAGTGCATTCCAGGCTGGTAAGACATTGCCTCAAAAAGCCAAGTTAGGTGGCTCTGAGGACCCACAGCCATGGTTTTCCGATGACCTCAATGTGGTTGTCCTGTCCTCTACATGCTTGAGCACATAGGCATATACACATTTAAACATAGGCATGCACACATACGTACAAACACACACACACACACACACACACACGACATCTAGCTGGAGGCTTCTCCTGCCCACTGCCCCCCTCCCACTCATCTCTCTGTCCCATGTATTTGAGTTGAGGTGGTGTCAAATGCAGAGAGAGGATTTATGCCTCTCTCTAGATGGTGCGTCTGCTTTTCAGTAAGCTTTACCCTGAGAGACGAAGCCTAGACAAGTTCACTATTCATGGCAACGCAATGCAGCCTGGAGAATATGCTACCAACAACCCAGGAGGAAGAAGAAAAGCTGATGTCTTAAGTTCCCATGGTGTCCTCTCTTGGCTGGATTGTGGTTTTGTCTTTAGTGCTGAATGCTACTCTTCAATGTCTGGATAGGCCACAGGTCACCTAGGCACCGTCTGAAAGGTGTCTTGGTTGCTTCTGAGTTTTTGGAATTATGGACAAAACACCCACATACTGGTTTCTACATGAGCACGTTTTCAATTTACGTTGCTTTTAGACCAACTATCACGATGTCTTGTGTACTTGATAATACTCTCATTCCCAGCATATGGTTCAACCTCTTCTGTCCAAATGTATTTACAACCAAACACGTGTCCATGTACTCAGACCATGGTCAAAACAATGAATGACTGTACCCAGATGAAGTCCCTTCCTGCCCAGTCCTGCAGCCCTGACACTGGTTTGATGTGGATCAGAAGTTTCTTTTGTCAATCACTTTTAAAACGCTATTCAAGATGGATGTAGTATTCAAAGTTTTGCATCCAAGCAAAGAGTGGTACTCCATGCCTGTAATCCTAACATTTGGGAGGCTGAGGCAGGAGGATTGCTGTGAGTTTGAGGCCAGACTATGAAGACGGAGATCGCTTGTTCATTCCTGGCCACCCAGACCTGAAATAATCACACAGAAACGATTAATTACAACACTGCTTGGCCCTTAGCTTAGGCTTTTTATTAACTAACTATAACATCTTAAATGAACCCATCTCTATTATTTTGTATTTTATCATGAGGCTCATGGTTTACTGGTAAGGTTCCATGTTCACTGTTTCCTCTCTCACTCAGCCTCCTTTTCCCCAGCATTCAGTTTAGTTTTCCCACCTAGGAGGCCAAAGCAGCTTTATTCATTAACCACTGGTTCACAGCATACAGAGGGGAATCCCACATCAAGGCTGGAATTATATAATAGATATCCTGTCAACCTGGGGTTATGGGCAGCTGGATGACTGTCACCTGGTCTTAGGTGTGGTCAATGAAGCTTGGCAGTACAAATCTCCTTAGAGCAGGTTCCTAACCCTCAAGCCTCCAGGCTCTTGTCAGGACCTCTGGGCCTCCTCAGCCTCCAGGTGAAGGCTGGAGGAACGTAGACAACTTGAACCTTGGAAAACCTTGGAGCAGAGGAAGGAGCTTGTCTGGGGAAAGTCGAGATCAGTGAGGTGAACTCTCGGGTGTGTCCAAGGTACTGACATTGTGGTAGACGGTCACCTTCAAAGTTTGAACTTAAGAGCTGCACAGTAGAGTTATAAAGATTAATTATGGGCTGGAGAGACGGCTTAGTCAATAGACTGTTTGCCATGCAAGCACGGGGACATGAGTTTGGGTACCAGTGCTGGGGAGATGGAGACAGGAGGATCCCAGGTCACTGGCAGCCAGCATAGCTGAATCGATCTCTCAGTGAGAGACTGTGTTTTAAAAACCAAGGTGGTGGAATGACTCAGGGTCAAGCAATTGCTATTGAAAGACGAAAGCCCTGTGGACTGAGTCCATGCCCCAGAACTCACATAAGGGAGAGAACCAATTCCACAGAGGTGCCCTCTGACTGCTTCTGTACCCATCAATGAAAGACGTCCAGTGTCAACCTCTGGCATGGTATACACACATGCACGCACCCATACAAAACATACACACTCAATACACATAGAACTACCCAAACCAAACAAAAAACCCAAATCTCATTCATTATAATAAGCTCACCATTCTGTGCCAAGCTGCATTCATAGCTCTTCTGGAGCACCCCGGCGGCAAGTGGGACATGGCCAAGTACATCTGTCTGTCTGTCAATTCCATATTAACCTTGGCTGTACAGCCTCACAGGGTTGTTCTGCTCCGCTTTTCTAAAATATGGAGCAGTAAGTATGCAAACTTGAAGAAAAAATAACTTTCCTTTGAAAGGATTTCCTGGAAACTATGAGGTCAAGAGCTGAACGTCGATCCCTCTGCTGTTCAGGACATTTACATTTAAAATGCTACTCGACCTTGGAGTCTTATAGGAACGAAGCCCCTGCTCTGCCACACACTATTCCCACCCCCATCGTGAGACAGGGTTTCTCTGAGTAGCCTGGGCTTTCCTGGAACTAGCTCTATAGATCAACTAGGCTAGCCTTGAACTTAGAGATCCCCCTGCTTCTGCCTCCTGAGTGCTGGGCTTAAAGGCACGCACCACCACCACCGGCTTTCCACTCAGCTTCTCTGGTGTGATACAGACCTTGGGCCCCGAGACCCAGTGTTTTACCTCCCGTTCCCCACCAGTGCTGTGCAGCCCAGTGCAGGAATCCACCGCATGGGTGGTAGCAGCAGCAAGCCAGGTGTATGCAGGCCACTCCAGGCTTCAGTGTCCCCGAGTGTCCAC